CTCCATTATTCCCAGCCAAGTTGGATGCCTCGTGGCACGAACGAACAGGCATTAGAAGTAACAATTATCTTTGTTTCGCTATTCCTGGAGATCTGTCCGTTCACGGCTGGCATAGTCAGCTCAGCGACCGGTTTCGATTTTTGTGTATAAATGTGTCAGAGCACCACGTCAAAGAAATTTCGCGCAATCATAGAGCTCCAAAAAAGTTTCGAATGGAGCATAGCAGTCGAAGACATCGGAGTTCATTAAGGCATGAATACAATGATAATGTTTTGTAAGTGCTATAACATGCGAGTATTTAATATATCTCTCTCTAAAATGCTTATCAGGCCTGCAGCGCAGGACGCTCTACCTGTGTATGCAATCACTAAGCCCCGCACCTAGTTAAAGAGATGTGCGCAGCACGCCATAGAAGCTCGAATAATGATTTTTGTGGTAGAGTAAAGATCTTTACAATGCCCTAGCATTGTCTTTAGTCACAAACATCACTTCAACTATAACATTCTAACATGATTTATTTATATGTCAAATCCGTGTACATCGTTGCATGTATTTACATAAAACTACTAGCTAATCTTAACAAGTTAAGATTTAGCCGCCGCAACACCCAGTTCCGCGTGCACCGCATTTGGTGTCGCACAACAAACTAGATACACTACTACTTCTTCGTTTACTACTACCTTGTTGCCACCTACTAAACGCGCTAACACCGAAGTCAGAACATACATCTTAACTATAGATGCTTCGCATTTTTACGGCACTACGCCAACCCCTTGTTCAACACTACCGCAATAACCGCCCAACGAAGCGACCCACATTTATTTTCTGTATTTGGGCCCCTCTTCTTTCCGAAGCGATATCCTCACCTCGTGAGTTTATCCACGCCTTTGAAAATCGATATCCCGTATATCAGAAAAAATGGCGGGGGGGGCGGGGCGGGGCGGGGTCCCGGCGGGGGCGAGGGGTCGAAATCATTCTCACCCACCCACACATTTCACAGTCCATACTCTCTCTCCTTCTGCTCCACTTTAAGAGTCTGTAAGCCAGAAGCCCTCCGCACGATCGCCCCGTTCACTCCCCGTTCTAGCATGCCTACGTCTCTCGTCCCTGACAAAGGCCTTTTTGGTCCATTGTTTTTCGCGGCGCGAAAATTCGGCATCTGTACCCAAGTGGGGGGGGCATTATAAATTACACTTACAATCACCAAAGTTGCATCCGCGTCGTGACGTGAGACAAGCTACCATCTAAAGTAAAATTATTTTGTTTTGTATTCGTCGAGATTCCGCCCTCATGTGGCTAAAGTCAGAGCGACCGGTCTTGTTGATTTTTTGATGATGAAGATGTGTCACGCCACAACTTGGTAGAACATCCGGCAATCGATAGAGCTGCAACACAGTTTCGAACGAGGCGCTCGACACTCAGAACGCCATCGAATCTGGCTTAGTTAGTTAACATGAATAAAGTGTCACCGTTTTCGTAACAGTAAGCGAGGCGAGTTATTTTAATGTAATTATCATTTCGATGTCTTATTTACAGGCCCTGCAGCCTATCGGACGGCCTCTACTGTACTAGCAAACACCTATAATCTCTTGTGAATGAGCCAGAGCGCACGAGGCGCCAAAAATCTGGTCTGAGTAGCGCAATCCAATAGATTAGGTACTTAATCATGGACGCGATCACTAGCCGCCAACGGAAACACAGTACTATCAGCAACTCACTCGGCGCTTGTGGGTGACACATGAAACCCGTGCATGTAGCATCCCGCCTTCCAAATTCAATAATTTACATCTCTCCCGATGGTGGCAAATTGATTTCTTAATTGTTAACGTTTCTGTGTTCTACCGTTATACATAGAGCGTATACTCCTCCTCTCATTGACCTTTTTAAATACACCTTTATCTTTAATTTTCCATGATCATCTCCATTCCACCTACATAACTTCTTCAGCCAGATCCTTTAGATCCACTACTGGAAAACCCTCGTCCTATATCCCTACTACACTGAGTTGAGACATTATCTCCGCTCACATCAAACTATACCAGCTGCGCCGAGCGATGCCTCCATGCGAACCTCGAAGAAAAAAGAGGGATGAACATATCACAACGTTTAGCTTCCTCGCAAGGCCGGTACAGAACGTAAAAAATGACTCAATCATCAAGCATTCGCCAAGTAGCATATCTACAGCCACTGTCAAATTAATGATTCCACTGTACTTATATCACATTCGCCGTTATTTCACCTCTAAGACTACACACATCATAAGGAACGCGTATAACTGTGATGACGACCGCGCACACCCCCTCATAATTTGACGTAGCATCTCATTACAAAAATACGACATACGCATATAACGCTCTCCCTATGACCATCTAGTCTAGTCATAAAAGTAAAGAATAATCTCTTATAAACACTCGACAAATTATTTAAACCTGTAAATGGCTAAAATTACTGCGCATAAATCTGCAAGCTCACGACTTCTACTGAGGGCGCTCCACTTATAACCAAGCACCTGAATTCACGCTGTAAAAGCCCCGTCTCTCAGGATCGACAGTTGACTCGCCACAATTGTCAAACTCAGAAGAAATTCTCTATGACCAAATCTAGCTGATAGGAGAGCCGTACAATGCGTATGTCGTTAATGGTTTTCATAGATCAACTGCAAAATAACGAGCCGTTGAATAATTCACAAGAGTAAACAATGATGTATTCGAACATCGATCTCCAGACTATCCATCGTACATGCCTCCCGGACCCACGAGCGAACGGGCGCGGACGCCGGAGCGCAACTAACATAAATCGAAAACAAGACATAAGCAATAAAAAAATGTCATAAACCAGACTAAACGGAAGCGATACATCAACTCTCTTCGCTCTATTTACTCTGAGAGCAACATAAAACCAGTAAACTTATGCCATTTTAAATGCTTAATTCCAAACATAAAGATTTCGTTCAGCCAGATAGTATACTAGAGTCCCCCAGCGCATTCGTCCGCCCCTATTATACACTTCGCGCATGGCCTCAACAGCACGTTCTGATACACCATTTTCAGTCTCATACTCTATTACTCAAAGAACAAGACATTTTTTTTAGCAAGCATTCTTCCGTACATCTACATCTGAAGTAATAGTGCTCACCTATAAGTTATAATAATTAAACAACAATACATATATTAAATATAATTCGTTTAGCATTATGCACTACGCCGCTTTTTCTCACGCGCGCCTAAACACTGTCGCTCACTCATCCGGCACCGAAAAATGCAAAGAAATCGTACAGAACACATCCACCTAGGCACCTCCACCACTGTACCCCCCTATCGCACCTATAACCTTCCACGCACTGTTCCTATCTAAGGCAGAATTTAAAATAATTTCCCCTCATATATTACTCGCGGAAATGAATCGCGTGCTATAAACACATTTTGTACTCACGCATACATCTGAGCATAGTTCTCACAACGGAACCCCTCGTTGCGAGCGAACAAATAATTCCTGATCCGTCCAAACTCCGATCTTCATTCACGTGATGTTATCCCACAGGAAGCAACAACCCACGTACAAAACTGGCTTTCTCGCCGCAGAAAATTTTTTAAGCCCAGTGTTACAATATTTGTACAATAATATGTAATTGGGTTAAAAATACTAGGAATTCCGTCATCGGGCTAAATCAGAAATAACAAATCGTGGTTCAGGCCATCACGCGAATTCCGAACACCCCGCGTCAACAAGCCGCACCCATAAAGTCGTTCTTGCACGTGTATGGTAAGCAACAATTCAGTGATGCAGACCAATAAATCGGACATTCAATCTTGGTAAAGAAAATCGACAACACCAGATAACACATCAACCATCAAACACGGAAAATCCATAAATCAATGTCCGTGCCCATCGTAAATATACAGGTGACGTCACAAATACCATAACATACCTTCTACAAGATCATCCTATCCATCTAACTATCTATCTACTATCATCTATCTATCATCTATCTACTAGTCTCATCCTATCGACATCTACGATCTATCTATCTATCTATTTATCTATCTAATCTATCTATCTTCTAGTCGTAATCATCATATAGCTATATATATCATACCTTACTAATATAATCTACCTATCTATCTATCTATCATCTACTATCCTAACTAATCTACTATCTATCCTCTATCTACTATCTATCTAATCATCGCTATACTATCTACATCTATCCTATCTATCTATCTACTCTATCTATCTATCTATTCTATCTCTCTATCTATCTATCCTTATCTATCTATCTATGCTATCTATCTATCATCTATCTACTATTTACATCTATCATCATCTATTTTATTTACTATCATATTACTATCTATCTATATATATATATATATATATATATATATTACTATATACACATATATAAGATTAAAATATATAGAAATTTCGCTTTACCTCTTTCCTCTATCTTAATACAAATTCCTCAGCATACGGATTTCGGCTTTCTCTATTCATTTATTCAACCCCGCAGTTCTAGAAGGACAGGTGGCAAATTATACCGAAGAATGAATAAGACGCTTCAATAACTTCTACGCGCGGATACTGACCACATTCGCAGCAGTAAGGACCTACATCGGATTCCCAGCCACGCTCACTCAACATCCGGGCGGTAGCCAAGGACCGTGACCTATATGCAGCCGACCACTGCCACCTGGCAATGCTGCTATCATCCAGCCGCCGAGAGTTTACCCGCAACCACTACGGTACTCTTGCCAACGTAGTAAGAGATATGCCGTCTTTTGTACAAGCGGATAACCACCCTGCGCCGCATCACCGACCGAATTGCTTTCTGTTTTGTTTTGGGCATTCCATTGACGGTTATAACCAGCCCTAGTCCGCGCCTTATCCGATTGCCGCCCACCACGCATTGCCGGTTCCGCCGTAAACCATCCCAGAATCGATTCTGCGTCCGACACGACCCGCCTGGTATTCCCGCGGCCCATCTCAAAACTGGAATCCTCGAAAACACGGCCAATCCTACGATCGAACACCAAAGCATCGCGCCCGCCTACGATCACTGCCTGGCCGCCCGCGACGTGACAAAAGTCGCGCTCAACGCCACAGCTATTCAAGTATACTTCTTCCATTTCTCTGCCACCGAAGACCGACAACACGTACTTCGGAGCATCTCTTTCAAACCATCGGTTCGGTACAAGAACAAATTTTGCTCTGTGGCCTGTTACAATGGTCTCCAGAAAAAAATTATATAATTTTTATAATATAATATAATATATAATATTACATATAAAAATTTTATATAAATGGAGCGCTCACCAGTAATAGTGCCTCCAAGTATAGAGATGGCGAGAGTAACACCCAGAGCTGCCATCTGGTGGCTGCTTGGACACCACCTGTCCAGCCCATGCCTACATGTTGTCCATGGCCTGTCACGTTAGCTACTGGGGCCGCGCATCGGCTCGGCGTCGTTTTCTCATCTCGGCCGATCCTCTCGGCCCTCCTTGCCGTCTTCTCTCTCCTTCTCGCTTCACCTCAAGCCTCTCTCCCGCTCCCCATCTCGCCCACTCGCCTTCTAAAAATTAAATATTCCCTAAAACTTCTTTGCAAGTCCCTCGCCTTAATCCGCTTTCTCACTCGTCTAAATTCTCCGTCTCGCTCTCTCTCTCTCTCTCTCTCTCTTCCTCTCTCTATCTCTCTCTATCTCTATCTCTCTTTCACTCGCCAGTGTGCTATGAGATGCCATGTCATTGCGTACCACGGAACACTGTGAGACGACACATCATGTAATGCTCCGACGCGGCACATCACGTAACGCCGCGCGAGTCGGCGACGAACGATGCAATCGTTTATCGTCGCACTCACTCGGGCTGCTCGCTTGTTTCGCGTTCCCGCCTCGCAGCACGCGTCTGGGTCGAGCACCGACGTTTCGCGCGAGAAAGTCGTAGAGCTACAAAAATGCGTCGTCGCAGAAAACAGGGCGGTGTGGGGAAGCGGGCGGGGCAGGAGAGGGCGGGGCAGAAGAAGGGGGAACAGGGGGAGGAGGAGGAAGCATGACTCTCTAGACACTCAGCGGTCAGACACCCTCAACAGTCGTCCAGCCGCGGCCGCTTCCCGGGACGACCTTGACTTTCTGATTCCGGTCGAGCTTGACCGCCTGACCACGATCGACCTTGACCTTCAGATTCCGGCCGACCTTGACCTCTTGACCGCAATCGACCTTGACCTCCTGACCCCGGTCGATCCCCAGCGTGACCGGGCGGCGACGGCGGCGAATCGACAACGTCTCGAATGCCTTCCGTCTGCGAGGAGAAACAAGAGAGTGTCGTCGCGGACGAAGTTCGACAGAGTTCGGGAGGAGAGGGTGGCGGGGTCGTGCGCAGGCCACGTGCAATGCAGTTGACTGCCGAGTTATTTGCCATCTTCTAGTAGCTACATTTGTCTGGGGAGGGGTTGTGCCCCTTACTCCCACTGATATAACATGGCTCCAATATATACATATATATATATATATATATATATATATATATATATAACCGGTTTAACATATTTTAACTGGTCCCTTTTGTTGTCATATTATAGCCGGATAAAGAGAGATAATTTTCGAAAGCTTGCTGATTAAAATTTAACACCCTATTCAATTTTCCTACATTTATTTTCATATATACATGGGTGTTCGTATGTTTTTACGTCTATATGTATATATATATATATAGATATATACATATATATATGTATTTATATGTACAAGTCAAGTGCGACTCCACTCCACGCCGCATGCGCAAAACCCGCCCCACTCACGTACGTACCAGTATCTGATAGCAGGCTGTTCCCTCGCCGCGCGCCGGATGTTTGTAGAGGGCAGCACGTCTGACTGTGCCTGCGGATGACAGGATGACGCGCACAGTGCTGGCGTGACTCCAGGCGTCCCCTAGCGCGGGAACGGAGAACGACTGTCCGTCGTCGGAAAACTTGGTCGTCATCTGGTTAGTCAGCACCACCTGTAGGCAAAAAACTTAACCATTATTTTTTTCATCATTTTCTTATTTTTTTGTTTGTTCTTCGAATTTCGAGTTCGGAGGACATTTGAAATATTTCGAGCCTCCCCCCCCCACCCACTAAAGCACCACTACCACTTACGAACGAAAGAAGAGAATGATAGAGACTCAATGGATTGCTTTTCGTAGCACTAACCAAATTGAACAGGCACAGACTCATAGTGATTTCCGCTTCTGTTGTTAGGTGCAGCACAAACTCACCACATTCCGTTGCTAGGCGTAACAAAGACTCACCGCGAGATCGCGTTCCGTTGCTAGGCGCAGGAGCGTCTGGGCGATGCGTCCTAGCAACTGATTTCGCAGAGCGAAGTCGTCAAAGTCGTAGCGGAAGTGGTAAGCTATGCTGTCGATGACGATCAGCTTCACCTGCAAAGGTACGCGAGACGCGTGACAGACAACAGGTGACGCGTGACGCAGGATGGGTGATGCATGACACAGCATGACGGGTGACACGTTATGGGTGATGTGTGACACAGCGTGATGGGTGACGTATGACACAGCGTGATGGGTGATGATGGGTGACGCGTGACACAGCGTGACGGGTGACACGTGATGGGTGACATGTGACACAGCGTGACGGGTGACGCGTGATGGGTGACGCATGACACAGCGTGATGGGTGACGCGTGACACAGTGTGATGGGTGATGCGTGACACAGCGTTATGGGTGACGTGTGACACAGCATGATGGGTGACGCGTGAAATAGCACCACGGGAGATGCGTGACATAGCATGAAACAGAAAGTGACTTACAGAGCAGGAAGTAAAGCAGGAAGTGAAGCAGAAAATGATGCAGGAAGTGATGACAGGTAAAACAGGATAACAGGAAGTGATGCAAGCAGTGACAGGTGAACCAGTATGACAGGAAGTGATGCAAGCAGTGACAGGAAGTGATGCAGGAAGCACGGTAAAAAATGTATGGAAGCGATCAAACCTCCGCAATCGCTCCCGTGAGGCTCAAAATAGCTCCCGTAAGATTTGTGACGAGAGCTATTTTTTCCACACTTTTAAAAAAGAGCTCCCGTGAAAAAAAGTCATCTTTTCCCTGGGAGGAAGGCTGCATAGAGGGCGCCGGTACTCACCAAGGGCGTAGGCAAGAATTTGGATTGGGGGGCTCCTCGAGCGAATTACAAGGGAATTACAATTTTTTTTTGAGTTAAATGTAAAAATAGTGCTTTAAAATCAATTTACACGCTGTTTTGTTGAATTTTTTGGGGATTTTGATTTTGATTAGTGAGGTCCTAGGCCCCCAGGACCCCCCTGGCTACGCGCTTGGTACTCACCGTGGGATGAGTGCGGAGGAAGGCAGGGAGCACTCGTACTGCGGCCGTGAGCTCGTCGTGGTCGCTGCATCGCTTGTAGTGGATGCGCGACATGATGGCTTCCACGGTGAATCCCTGCATGGCTTCTCTCTGTCCTGCCAACACACACATTAACCTGTATTATGTAACCTATGCCACGAGCTATACATATATATATATATATAACCTATATTCCCATCTACAAGTGAACCTGTGTGTACCCTACACCATAACCTATATACATATGTATATATATCTATATATCCCACTCCCGTGATGACACC